GGCTCTAAAATTTGATATTACTTATATGGCATGCACTTGCGTGAGCCCCTGTGTCTTGTTGCACTTGGAAGCAATATCACCAATTCCAAGCACACAACAGAAAAGTAAAGGCATGCTAAGCAAAAAAAAGAATAGGTCGGTGTCGCTGGATCAACAACATATCCCAAGAAAGTAGGAAAGGCGGTCAGACACAACATAAACACTCTTGATCCTAATTCTATACAATATTATGAATTCAGGCTTAAGGTACAAGACACTAGTATGCTGCTCTTGGTCTTTTTTCACGAGGTGTGATGTGTCATGTGCCTTGGAACCCATGCTAATATCTTATTTCTTATACAAACTCGATCAAAAAAATTCTATTGAATACATAATAAAGGAAAAGGACCCGACCTGTAGAAAATTTAGCACGGGTTATGTCATGCAACACATGAGTCATGCCTGGCGGGTGGAGCTTAACGACGCATGCAGAAATGAGTTAACATTAAAATCATTACATGCTCCTCCTTATTATATGTGTGTGTGTGTGTGTTTTAAGCATGCATCCCTGTAAGAGGACCCCCCTAACATACTATTGTGCATTTATCAAACTCGGTAAACACATAAAAGTCACAAGGAAAGTAATGTCTGGCTAGGGTATAAACAGAAGAAACTAAAGCCAGGGCATTGAGAAACTACCTAGCATTCTAATCATAGCCTAACACATAATCTAACGTATTTTTCATAATCACAACATTTAGTGTGCAGGTATGCCTTAACGGGGTCACCATGTTTTGGTCCAATCTTAAGGATCCAAGGATTCTAAGCGGTGCCACTAGATAGAGGTTTTGTAAAAACAAAAACATTAAAAGGTTTGACCTTATGTATGGTGCAAGTTAAGGATGAAACTAATTTCAACATAAATTTTGAAAATCACAATGCATACATAATAAAAAAATTATGATTTTATATTTTAAAATAAATTCTTAAGGGAAGATAAGGCAGAGTGGCACCTATTAGAAACATCAGAACCTTAGCACGACATTACAGAAGCACCTATTAGACTCATTGGAACCTTAGTCTTGTTAGATCCATTTGAAAATGATAGTGCTTTGCGCTTTCATCTAAATGGATGGAAAATGATCCCCAAGCACTAAAAATAGTCCGCGAAAGTGCCAAAACATCGAAATGAACAATCATCCTCGGGCTCGATGTTAACTAGTTTAAAACCTTAATTTCAACTGATGAGGCCCTCTTTCTACGTATCTACTTGGTCGTAGAAACCTCGAGCAGATGAATTTTAATCCTATCAAGTTCAAATGGTCATTTAGACTGTCCTATGCCAATGACTAATACTGTTGAGGAACATTTGTTTTCCTGATAATGGTTGGAACCCTTAGGCAAAGCATGATCATTATAACCCCTAATTTGTGCTCTTTACACCTACCAAGTGGCCTAGATTGATGTTTAGAACTTTGGGGCATTGAGAACAAACAATGAGAATTCCTGAGCCATTAAAGTGGACATCCTACATGTGTGACATTAAAAATTGATGCCAGCATGGAAAAATTAATATTTCCCTTAGATTTTGTAGTCCTAGACATGGAGGAGGACAAGGAGATACACTTTATTCTCAATCATATCTTTTTAGCCATAGGAGGGGCAATGATCGATGTTCATAAGGAAAAGTTTACCTTGACTGTGAATGATCAAGAAACTATCATTAAAATTTTAAAATCAAATAAAATTTCTCAAGATCCAAGTGATTATCTGTGTCGTATAATAGATGTGGTGGAATGGTAATGTTGCACCAATTCGTTGAAATTGTGGAAGTGGACCCGATAGAACAAGTTGTGGTTGGAGATTTTTGTAAGAAATCTTGGGAAGAAGAAGAATCTGCTCTATTGTTAGACAGAAATCTTATGATCCTTAGAGATAGATTTGAGCTCTTAGAAACAACCAAAAATGCTAAGCCTCTACTTCCATCTAAATAGGTTGCCCTTGAGCTAGAGTTGAAAGCCTAACTAAATTACCTCAAGTATGACTACCTAGGAGAGCCTTCTGCCTTGTTTGTGATCATTTTGATGGATTTGAGTTAGGTGTAACAAAAGAAGTTGATGAGAGTGCTCAGAATATTTAGAAAGGAATTTGGGTGGATCATAGGGGAAATAAAATATATAAGCCTATCCCTAAGCAAACATAAGATTTTGATGGAAGAGAAACAAGGACCCAAGATTGAATCCCAGAAGAGGCTTAACCCTATGATGAATGAGGTAATAAAAATAGAGATTATGAAGCAGTTAGATGCACACATGGTCTACTCTATCTTAGACTATGCCTGGGTTAAACCAATCCACTATTTACGTAAGAAAGAGGAGTGACTATAGTAGAAAATGACAGGGACAAAATGATATAAACTAGAATTATCATTGGATAGAGGATTTTTATTGATTATTGGAAATTGAACATAACCACTACTAAAGATTATTCCCCTCTACTCTTTCTTGACTAGATATTGGAAATACTAGTAGACAATGCTTTCTACTATTTTCTAGATGGCTACTTAGGTTACCTTCAAATTCCCGAAGCCCCAGAGGACCAAGACAAGACTATGTTTACTAGCCACTATGAGACTTTTTCCCTTACAAGGATGTCATTTGGAATGTACAATGCCTTGCCACTTTTTAGTGCTCCATGATGTTCATCTTTAGTGACTTAACTGAGCCTGTGATAGAGAACTTCATGGATGAATTCTTTGTGTTTGACACCTCGTTTGATGCAATCCTCAACAAACATGCAAAAGTATTACAAAGGTGTAAGGAGAAAAATCTGGTATTGAACTCAGAGAAATGTCAATTCATTGTCACCTAGGGGATAGTGTTGGGCCATAGGATTTTGAAGAAGGGGATGGAGGTAGATCTTGCCAAGATTTAGGTGATAGAAAAACTACCCTACCCACTTTAATGAAAAGGATTTAGAGCTTTTAGGTCAAGCTTGATTTTACCGTCAACACATTTAAGACTTTTCTAAGATCACTAAGCCTTTGTACCATTTATTAGAAAAGGACATGCCTTTCCATTTTGATGAGACTTGCTAGCTAGCTTTGAAAATTTAAGAGCCAAGTTAATCATAACACCTCTAACAGTTGCACCAAATTGGGAGTTTTCATTTGATTTGATGGTGATGTGAGTGACTATATTGCAAGAGCAATGTTATGCCAGAGGAGAGGTAATATTTTACATGCCATATATTATGCTAGTAGGATCATGATGTCTAAGTGAACTACACTAATACAGCAAAGGAACTATTGGTTATACTATAGACATTTGTTATGTTTAGATCCTTCCTGATAGAGACTTGAGAACGGTGTATCCTGAAGAGGCAGCTAGCAGATATCTTGTGACTAAGAAGGATGCCAATCCTCATTTGATCATATGAGTCCTCTCACTACATAATTTTATATGGAGATTATCGACCGAAAAGGCATGAAAAAGTTAGATAGTTGATTACTTATCATGGCTTGAGTAGGAGATTTTTGATGAGTGCCTTGTTGACATAAATAAGAAATTTCATGCTAAGAAACTCCACGTCATTTATAAGGAAAATACAATGTGGTATGCTGACATTGTAAAAATTCATTATTTTTAGGATTATTTCCTACGAACTGACCTACCACAAGAAAAGAATTTCTTTTCAGATGCCAAATCCTAATATTGTTATGGGCCCTTTCGTTTTAAGAAGTTTAAGAACCGGTCTTAGGAGTTGAGTGTTTTTTTTTTGTTCTTTTTAAAACTTGAAGTCATCAGCTTGCCTGATTTTCATCGTATAACTCTCTTTACAAATGAACCATTTTACTTCAATCATAGAAATAATTTAGAGAAGAGGAGGGATCAGAAAAGGAGAGCACATGACGAAATTTAGACAAAACAATTTTCTAAAAAGAAACAGGAGAATCCTGATTTTCAATTCACAATCAGTAGTCAATCCTTTACATCAACAAACTCTAGCCCTTTCCCCTCAACTCTACAGTTAATGCCTTCACCCTACTATCTTTTGGTGCTACTACTAAAACCCCCGCAAGACTTGGTCATCAAAAGTCTACATGCTTATCTAACTCTTCCACTAGCTCTCTCTATGCTATTCAAAGAAAGAGAGAGTCACCCATCAAAATTCTACCACTTCATCAATTTTAGGTATAAGGGCATCTGATCAAATTTAACAACCAGGACAATGATAATTAAGCTACTTCAACAATCTCAAAGAAAGCAATAATATAATAGCCTAAAATGCATTAGGAGAATTGATTATGAATTTGTAAATTCCAAGGATATTTTGTATTAGCTCACTTTTTAATTTATTTATTTTCTTTTATCATGAACTAACAATACTTTGGATTTTTATCTTTACATCTTATCAGGAAATTACTTCCAAGGTCATTTGCATTATTCTTAAACTTTTATGCTAATTTAGTAATGAAGCTATAATGACGTGATAAATGCTTATATATTATTGATGTTAGATAATAGAAGTATCTTATCAAGTGGAATGATATATATACAAGCAATAATTCATGAATTTCTTTATGCAGAGTGCAACTACTATGTCCACATTTTCTTGATAAATATAAATTGAACAAATAATCAAAGTCAATTTTCTTACTTAAAACAAACAACCATGACCTTCCCTTACTCTCAATTAAGTTTATTATGTAATATAGTTGGCTTGGATCTCTAGTTCATGGTATATTCATCTACGAATCTTACCATGCTTTCATTATTGCCTTCCATAACATTTGCTCGGTGCTCTTTCTATGCATATTTTTTTAACGTGTCACTAGTAACTCTAAGGCGTGTGATATCTATAAATTTGTTATGATTATTGTCAAAATAGATGTTGAATGCATTTTGTTAACTTATTTCATATTTGTTAGGGTTGGTAAGTAAAATTAAGTGTTTTTTTTGCCTCTTTATCAAGCACTCTCTTTCACAGAGCATATATTACTATTTCTATCAACTATTTAGGGACAGGGTAGAAGCTAACTCACTCGCTCGTCAAATGAAAGGTGTTGGAGATGGATCTATTGAGATGCTCCAATCACTTGCAGTTGCTGCATTTGCAGAGTGATTGATGCTGACTTGAACTTTTTTATTTAACTAATTCTTCCATTGGGCTTCTTACTTTTTATATTTCCAGGCATTTCAATTTTACAACATATTCATGAATGATGCTAGCTTCTTTGCTTTGATGCAGATTAATAAATGTGCTACTGACAAATCCTATATGGGTAATTGTCACACGCATGCAGTTATTGGAAATTTGATATCCAGGCTTCCTTTTTTTTGTTTCCTTTTATCATTTTGTATCCATACTCAGTTACATCACAAACTTCATGAGAGCAGTTTGCTCTGCACTTCTGAATGGTTTTCTGTACTTGTTGTATCTATTATTTTTCAGACTCACAAGAAAACAAGCGAATCCTCAGCAAATCTTGTTTTAGAAATTGTTCCTGGTGAAGTGATTCAAGATGTTGTTGTTGACCCTCTACATTATGGAACTATGGAAGCTGTACGTATTTCTTTTTTTTGCATTTCATTAGATTATTTCTAAGGGATGCTTGGCATTACATATTTGAAGGACCACGTTTCAGCCTTTTTATTGTTATGATCCATTATCTTAAATTTAAGATTTAAGACGCGGAGTTTCTTCCTTGTAGAAATTGTTCCTGGTGAAGTGATTCATGATGTTGTTGTTGACCCTCTGCATTATGGAACTATGGAAGCTATACAAATTTCTTTTTTTGCATTTCATTAGATTATTTCTAGAGGATGCTCGGCATACATATTTGAGGATGCTCGGCATTACATATTTGAAGGACCACGTTTCAGCCTTTTTATTGTTATGATTCAATATCTTAAATTTAATATTTAAGACGCAGAGTTTCTTCCTTGTAGAAATTGTTCCTGGTGAAGTGATTCAAGATGTGTTGTTGACCCTCTGCATTATGGAACTATGGAAGCTGTACGTATTTATTTTTTTGCATTTCATTAGATTATTTCTAAGGGATGCTCGACATTACAAATATGAAGGACCATGTTTCAGCCTTTTTATTGTTATGATCCATTATCTTAAATTTAAGATTTAAGACGCGGAGTTTCTTCCTTGTAGAAATTGTTCCTGGTGAAGTGATTCAAGATGTTGTTGTTGACCCTCTACATTATGGAACTATGGAAGCTGTACGTATTTCTTTTTTTTGCATTTCATTAGATTATTTCTAGAGGATGCTCGGCATACATATTTGAGGATGCTCGGCATTACATATTTGAAGGACCACGTTTCAGCCTTTTTATTGTTATGATTCAATATCTTAAATTTAATATTTAAGACGCAGAGTTTCTTCCTTGTAGAAATTGTTCCTGGTGAAGTGATTCAAGATGTGTTGTTGACCCTCTGCATTATGGAACTATGGAAGCTGTACGTATTTATTTTTTTGCATTTCATTAGATTATTTCTAAGGGATGCTCGACATTACAAATATGAAGGACCATGTTTCAGCCTTTTTATTGTTATGATCCATTATCTTAAATTTAAGATTTAAGACGCAGAGTTTCTTCCTTGTAGAATTATATCTTTTCGAGGCCTGGCTAAGCTTGCAGATCAATCGTTAAATGAAATTTACAATCTAAATGTTTTATATGGTAGTCTATCATGTAAATGTGCATAGCTGGTTGACCTTCCATTGCTTAATGTATTGGTCGATAAATGTAACCCACATTTATTTGTTTCTGTTGTTAGCATGAACTAAATAAATTTCTGATTTACTAATTTACAAGTTCAAGAATTATTTGGTGAAGCAGGTTTGTTAGGCTTCTCGATAGGAGTATTACCAACACTCATAAAGGTTAGTATATAGTAAATTTTTAATTTTGGAGATTTTTTCCAATCCCAAAGATGAAACATAAATATCATGCGTTGCCCAAAAATTTCAAAATCAACTAAAGTGTCAATTAGACCAAGGAATGCATTGTTTATAATCTTTGGTTAGAGAATGTAATGATGTGGTTTAGTTCTCTCATATGATTGTCTCATCTGAATATTTATTGTGTGATGTTTGGGGTTTCAGGCTGGTACATGTAACTACTAAAAGCCTACTACCATGCCTTTCATGTGTTCCTCTTTACCCTTTGCCTTTCAGTTCTTACAGATGGAGAAAGAGAAAAATTTAGAAAGCTGTAGTTAGATTTAGTTGATTTGATTACACATGTGAATTAAATCAGGAAAAATGATTACAGCTTTGTTTCGTAGGGAAATCTACTAGTGTTTTAGGTTGTGAAACTTTCAATATAGAAAGTTCCTTTGTGGAACCTCTTTCTTGCCTCTCTCCTAGCAAAAAGTTAGAAGCGGTAAAGAAGAAACTCTTCTTCTGTATCGCCCCTTGATCCTCCACTTGAACATGGGTAACTTGGTCTAGCTTTATGGCGAGCCATCACGCCATGTTAGCATTGCCAGCCATTTCTCAACTATTTTTTATTCTCATTTTTTTTTTCTTTTTTGCATGAATGGTGTGTTTATTCTGATCCTCAAGATTAGTCCCTATTACAGATTCTTTCTGATACAATGTATCAATTTCATTAATGCCACATATTAGGGCCTAGATTATTGTTAGATCAATTACTGAAGATTTACTTGTCCCAAAACCTTACTCATGTAACCAGGATCTTTCAATCCATTTTTTACATGGGCATACCAATGGATTTATAGAAGGGAGGTGGCACTTTTTGGTGATCCAAGGTTGAGGTGTATGATCACCGATGAACCTTCTGTTATGAAAAACGATGACAAAAATGAAAGAAAATTGGGACTAAAAAAATTACGCCAGAGAAAGGTGACACAAATTTACGTGGTTCGGTAATTTGCCTACATCTATGGAGCTGCAGAGGATTTTATTAGTTTTAAGGAATTACATCGTCAGCGCCTCGAAGTTTATAAGAACTTTCTCTCTCTTCCCTTTCTCTCACTTTTCTCTCACTCTCTTCTCTATTCTCTCTCTACCTCATTAAACTAAGCAAAGAAAAGCTTGAAGAGCGCACCCACGTGAAAGGATTCAAAGGAGAAGAAAAAAACAAAACAAGCCTCTTTAGCTTGGTACTCCCCGCTCCTTGACTCTTCAACCACAGAAGAGATGACTCTTAGGTTGGGTTTTAGAGAGCAGGCGGTTTTGCTTTATAAGCAGCAGGTAATGACCTAATTAAGCAAATAACACCTTTCAGGAAATTGAACTTCTTCTACTTTCCCATAATGCACCTCTGGCTCATGTGTCCACACTTGAGTAAACCTATAGTCATATATAGTGCCAGTACTAATGCTCATTTAGTAACCTTCCAGGTACTATCTGAGAACACTACTGAATGACTGCCCTCATTAAGCTACCCAACAAAAAATGAGGTTTTTCTTCAATTCAAGAACGTGTTTGACTTTTTGTAAAGTCCAATTACTCTTGTTAGGCAGTGCAATATCAACGTCTCCCATTCACATCAGGTCCAGAGCCTTTCCATCAGCTAGATATACATTCCCAAAGTTAGCTGCAACATAATTTTGCATTAACTCCCGATGGGAAGATGTATGGAAGGAAGCCCCTGAATCCAATATCCAGTCATCAACAGAACTGTGAACTGCCAGAAATAGTGCATTTTATATTTCTTCAGTTACAATATTAGCGTCAACATTCTCCTTGATATTCTAGTAGTTCCTTTTTATGTGGCCATCCTTGCCACAATTTCAGCAAGTTAACTGCTGATCAGACTTTGATTTGATCTTCCTCTGTTTGAGTTCATGTCCTGTGATCTCCCTCTGGATTCAACGTGGAATCAACAATTAGTGCCGAACTCAAACTCGAGGTCTCGCCAGGATCTTTCCAGCGCACCTTCTCAGCCAAAATTAAATCACGAATATCATGATATTTTAGTTTAGATTTACCTGCAGAATTGCTAACTGCCATCTTCATAGTTTTCCAGCTATTTGATAATGAAGCCAACAATATTAGCACGCTTATCTCATCTTCAAAATCAATTTCAACAGACAACAATTGATTTGTGATATTATTGAACTCATTCAGGTGTTGAGAAACAGACACCTTCCGGCATCTTCCGGTTGAATAATTTTTTCATCGTGCACCTTGTTATTCGTTGATGGCTTTTAATACATGCCTGATAAATCTTCCATGAGATCTGCAATAGTCCTCTCTTTGATGATGTTATGGGCAACGGATCTTGACAGGGTTAGTCGTATAACCCCCAGAACCTGTCGATCCAACAGTTTTCATTCCGCCTCATCCATTTTTTATGGCTTCTTTTCCAGTAATGGAAGATGAAGTTTCTTTCCATAGAGGTATTCCTCTATCTGCATTGCCATTGAATTTCTTGATCCCTGATTCCATCACTTCGTCTTCACCCATCGTTCTCTTTCAGTCTCGAACCAAATCTCTGATATCAGTTGTTGTGAAAAACGACGACGAAAATGAAAGAAAATCAGGAAGAGAAAAAATTACACCAGAAAAAGGTGACAAATTTATGTGGTTCGACAATTTGCCTACGTCCACGGAGCTGTAGAGGATTTTATTAGCTTTGAGAAATTACACCGTCGAGCGCCTCGGCATTTACAAGAAACATTCTCTCTCTTCCCTCTCTCTCTCTCCTCTCTCTCTCTCACTCTCTTCTCTCTCACTCTCTTCTCTCTCCACCTCTCCACACTAAGCAAAGAAAAGCTTGAAGAGAGCACACACGTGAAAGGATTCAAAGGAGAAGAAAAAAACAACACAGCCAACAGCCCTCTTTAGCTTGGTGGTCCCCGCTCCTTGATTCTTCTGCCATAGGAGAGATGACTCTTAGGTTGGGTTTTAGAGAGCAGGCGGTTTTGCTTTTATAAGCAGCAGGTAATAAACTAATTAAGCATATAACACCATTTAAGGAAATTCTTTAAAGGATAAACGCGGAGAGCATCTCATGCAAATCCTTCGCGCGGTTCCGCGGTTTCACGGAGAGAAAAAAACAGGAGGCAGGAAACGCATGGAAGAAGTGGGAAGCTTTTTTTAGAAAGTTAATTAGTCACATAATTAACGCTTTAATGATTTTCCAAAAGAAGAAGTGCACAGGGCTCCACATCCTCAACACCTTCCTTGCATATCATAGATGCATAAGGGATCATGTTTCAATGATGAAGACTATAAGTCTAGCCTTTATTTTTGAAGCACCACTAAATTTACTAACCGAAATTATTAAGTTAGCCTTGATTTATAATCAACCAAGTTGAATACTTATTGTAGGGTTAAAGATGGGCTTATACAATAGGTTAGTAGCCCTAAATAGATTCAAGTTATTGCATGTGAATGGCCAAAAGGATAATTGAGGGAGATAATTTAGCAAACTGAAGAGGGTTGTGCATAAGGAGATGTTTAATTGAAAGTACTATACCAGAGGAGATGAGATTTATCCAATCTCGTGATAACTTATTTATTGAATTTTTTTTTAATCTCATATCTATTGATTATTGTTTTATTTTCCTCGTTGAATTCCTTCTTCTTCCCTTTTCTAAGTTGTTTCCTCCTTGTTTTGTCTTGTACTGCTCCTAAATACCGCATAATTTTTTTTGGGAAAAAATTACATACATTTCGCTCATTTCTTATCTATTTACATATCGAACACCTAAACGTCAATTTTTACATATATATATATGCCATCTTACTTATGCATTAAAATGTGTATTTATTTTTTAGATGTTAAAATAGTGGTATTTTTTATGAAATATGAAAGATTTAAATGGTATAAATGTAAAAGCTAAAATATGTGTTAGATAAGTAAATACATAAGAATTGGGTGGTATTTATGTAAATGTCTCCTTTATGATTTGGTTGGAGATGGGGCATGAAGTCTGCTAGGGTAGATAGATGAATAGTGGTCATATTATTCAAAGAGATTTGAAAGCCTTGGTTGGCTTTTAAAATGGATAGAGAAAATAAAGTGGAGTGGAATTTTTTATATTAATCATTTCATTCAATGGTTGAATTGGATTGAATTGAAAAAAAAAATCCTA